GTTTCTGCATCCCTCTGTCAAAGGCTAGATTATCCTGTTAGTGCCTGAGAATGCGTGTTTCCTGCCCTTTTGCCGTCTTCATCTCAGCTACCTAGGAGACTGTTGCTCCTGGCGAGGGTAGAAGGAGATGGGCAGGGGTAATTTCTTCATCAGCAGCTTAGCTTCTGCTTCAGCATCCAGTGTGGGGCTGCCTGTATGTAGCACAGGCAGCTGATAAACCAAGGCTGCTTCGCTTACTCTTGACATGCATAGAATGGGCAGGCCATGCTCTAGTAAGATTGTGGTTGCCTCCAGATGTCGTATGGACTGGTCAAAAAATATAAATAAAAATGTCATCATTTTGAGTCCTCTTACATGTGAATGTGATTAAGATAGCTTTATTAGATGAACTAAACCAATGAGCGTTAGTACATTACCTACATAAAGACATTGTCATAAAACACAATGAAGAGACAAGGGGGGGTCTTAAGGGCCTCTGCAAAACTGGAAGTTGCAGGAAAGGGTTCAGTTGCATGGTATGTCCACCAAGCACTGTCTGTAGATGTGTTATTCATGTGGAAACATTTCTTATAAAATGAAGTTTTATTTGAAAGTATTTGTGAACTTTGGTTGCTTTTAAGTTCTCTAGTGTATATGACAGAAATTCATCGTATTTTGAAACATTGGAAGTCAGTCTGACAAGGCACTTGGAATATGGTGAGTTTTGTGGCAGCTTCTGTCTCAAGCATGGCTACCCTTTGATGGTACTGGCACATATAGAGATTACTACCACTTACCTTGATGAGGCCAGCCTAAGAGACCCCTGGGCAAGTATGTGCTGGGCTCCAGTGTGAGAGGATGATGTCAGGGTTTCTCCCCATAACTTTTAAGAAGGGCAATGTATTTCTGAAGTAAGTCTGGACCCTCATGAATCCTCAGGCAGTGCTCCTGTGTTCTCCTAGAGTTCACTAGTCAGTAAAATGTCAAAGTCAAAACTGAAGCCTCCCTCACTCAAGACCAAATCTTGTGAAATTTGAGGAAAGGCTGCCCACATTAAAGGGGGCCAATTGGGAACATTTACTGCAATGTGCAGGTATCTATCAACCTCAGTTTCATCTGAATGCCAGCATGCTGGATCACCTGCACAGGTCATCTTTAAGTGACGGTTAGGATGTTCGCTGTGTTAGCCCATGTGATCATTCTGCCTCCACAGGTGGTAACTCTGATTATTTGGATTCCGACTATGAGTGCCGACTCTGTCGTTTTGTTCCAGGGATGTCTTCTAGCTCTCAATACCTCTTTTTTTAAATTGGTTGAGAGGAAAAGGAAACCTGGAGTCATGTAGCCTCTGGTGAAGGGTTGAAAATGTGGGTCAGACCATAGACTATCAACCCTCTCCTTATGACTTCACTTGGTAAATTGACTTGGAACGAGATAATTATTTTTGGGAGAGAATCAGACCTGTCTCAAGTTGTTATTGTCATAAAACATGGACCAAGTTCTTTGTGGCAAATGAAAGCATACAGTCAAGGTGGTGTGATACACTTTTAAAGTGAATAAGATACTTTCATGTACATCATATTGAAAACTTATTTTAAAAACATTTATTGGATTTTAGCAATGGAAGTTTCTGGTTTCTAGATTGCTCTCAGTTACTGTAACGTTTTGGATACTTCTGAGCCTCCTTTTCACATTTCCTACCTATACCTGAATCATTCTTTTGTAAAGGACTTCAGATATCCACAATAAGCACCACATGTCCCCACGAGGTTTTGGTCCTGGAAAAGGGAAGACCTTGACCCTGGCTAGTCTGTCACAGCATCTTTGTGAGAAGACGCAGAATAAGAGGGACAATTCTGCCTTGGTTACACTGCTATACTTACATCATTTCACTTCCTTCTTTTTCATTCTTTAAAATATCTTTGTTTTTATTAAGGGAGGAGATAAACACATGATTGAAAAAAATTGAACTACAAGGTGTGCCCTTTACAAGACTCAGTGAAACAATAAATCCGTAGAAGGCACGTGTGATAGCCTACTATGAAGCTCCATGCAACAACGTTCAATGACGTGGCGTATATACAGACGAAAAGGCTGGCCAGGGAGGCCTCAGGGCTCCTGCCACTTGAAGGACTGTCAAGGCCCAAATGTCATCAGGCACTTCTGAAGCTACATCTGGCAGAAGGTCTTTGACTGTTGTTGTGACATTTACTTCATAAAACAAAATTAAGAATCCTCTCCCCACACCCCCAAATCTACTTTTTTTTTTTTTTTTGGTGCAGTGACAACATCTTAAAAGGGACCATTGCTTGAGTTAGTCTAAAAGGTTTGAAGTGCTGCTTTTCTCATGGTCTGGGTAATAGTTTCTCTTCTACTCCTGTAGCTGGATTTGTGACGATGGTTCGTGAAACAAGAAAGAACAGCCAAGGTCAAAGTCAGCTGTCTGTTCTGCCAGGAATGAAAATCCACAGGGTTTTCTATTTTTATATGAAAGTAAAACTATGTTTTATGATTTTATGGCTTCTGAAGATAGCTTCTTATTTTTGGTATAGAAATTAAAACCGCATAGTTTTATGCCACTTTGATTCCAATAAAGATTTCCTGCTCAACTACTTTCGGCTAGGTATTCCTCAAAGCACTTCACAGACAGACCCAGGAGCAAAGGAGCTGGCAATCAGAAAATGGCTGTGGGTGGTGACTTTTATAATATAGCCCTGTGAGGGTAAAGGAATATTGTGCACAAGATCTAAAGGAAGAGAAGGAGCACGCTTTCAGGTGTGTGCCTCCTGGACTGGCTATCATCAGGAAGGGGCATGCGTTCAGGGTATTCTGGGTAAAGCCTGGACATGGCTGGATTCAAGTGAACAGAGGAAACAGGTCAGAGAAGGAGTTATGGTAGCTGGGGATGCACGGCAGGTTATTTCAGTGGCTTTACTGACCACATGAATATGTTATTCTGAGTGAACTGGGAAGGCATTGTGGAGCTTAGTGGAAGAGTGGCATATTTTGGTTTGTGTTTTAAAAGCATCATGCCAGGTAAAAAGTGGCCTGGACCCAGATCAGATCATGAATATACCCCAAATTTAAGAAGGGCCACATTTCTAAAATATGGTATATGAAAGAGAAAAATTAGAATCGATAATGAGATCTTTTCCAGTATAGAAGGATAGGACTAATATTTTGCCAATCTGGAGAAGACCATGAATTGTTTTTTTGGGGGGGAAATACATCCAAATGAAGATGCTTATTAGGAAATTAAGCATATGAATCCAGCCTTCAGGAAGGAGGCTGGGAATGGAGATGAAGATGTGGCTTGTGCCATTGTATAGATGGTTTTCAAGGCTCCAGGATTGAAGAGATTCACCTAGAAAGGGGATGATCAGTACTAGCTGCTAGCACCTGCCGACAAATGGGGAATTCCATGCACAGGAGCTATCTCAAGAAGCATTTCCTGGCTGCAGATAAGCAGCATGTAGCCAGAGAGCTGGCTGCTGCACTGGATAGGGAGGCAGTCACTAACACCCTTAGCAAAGCCTCTGTCCTGGGGATGAAAGACTGATTTAAAATAGTCCAAAAGGCCAAGGGAAGAAATTCAGTTAGTGAGTAGACACAATTCCTCCAGGGGAGTTTTTCTTTGCAGGGGAGCAGACCACTAAATGGAAGGAAGTGGAGCTGTAGGGCCGAGGAGAGGGTGTACCCAGGACACCGTGTCACTAGGGGTGGACTCCTCCAGCAGAGTGGGAGATACTGGTGTGCTAAAGGGAAGGGGGTCTGGGTGAAGCATAGCCTTTGTTTTGAAAAGATGTGTAAGACACACCACGAGCCACTGGGAAGAACTTCCCGCTGTGGCTCTAGGAGCTTCTACAGTCTATAGTCATTGATAATAAGTTTCGCCAGACAAGATCAGGACAATGGGAAGCCAGGTTATTGTAGGTGTGTCTAAATGGATACCCAAACCGTCAAGCATTCAGAAGGGTAGTGCTGGAAATGGCAGGGGGCTAAGGACTGAATACATGAGCAACACGGGAGGGGGGGCAGCTCAGGGACCTTCTCAGGGGATGAAAGAGCTTCAAAGAAGTGGGTATTGGGAAGAGCAAGGTGGATTTTGATCTGGAAATGGCAATGAGGAATTATGTATCTTGTACCTATTAATAGTCCATCATACATACTTCCTCTGTAACAATGGAACACAGCAGGTTTCAGGTTGTGGGTCTAGGGAATCTTTGGCGTAGAGCTAACCAAAGTCTTTCTGACTGCAGCATGAACATGTGTAGAAAGTACTTCTTGAAGAACTGTTGTAGAAGTGAAGGAAAACAAACACTTAAAAGTTTCAACTGGAAGAAATTTTCAGGAAGATACATAGGTACAACTTCATCCAGTTTTGCAGACTTTCGGCCATTCAAAACACATTTGGAAATGAGAGGTTTAAAAATGTTAACAATCCTAGGCACAGCAAAGGAACACTTTCCCTCCTAGTATTACAGACTTGCTCTCTCTCTGCAGCTGAAATGTAAAAAGGAAGAGTCCGTTTGAAACATGCAGTTTTAAAATGCACTTAGCCTGCTGTCCTTCCCCTCACTGCTGCCACCATGAAAGTCTGACTTAGGGAAATGTCTCATGTTCCTTAAACAAACCACAGCGTGCTTTAACCTAGGGCAAGGGATAGCAAAGGCGCAGCTGAGACCTGGGTGTTTGCTAGGACCGATAGTGATCCATGGCTGGGAAGGGCACTGCCCCTTCCTGACAGCATTTGCGAGCCTATCAGAGAGAAATCATCTAAACCAAACTCATGCAGGTGAGTGAGTGGGTGCAAAGACGATCACACACAGCAGAGGTCGGAGAGCTCAGGGAACTGTTTTTATTTCAATCGTGTTTTCTAGATTTCACCCAAATGTTTAGCAGGATTTTGATCTGACTTGAAATAGTACAAACCTTATCCAGGGATCTTCTGTTTAGAAACTTTCAGGGAGATCTTTGTTGTTCTGTGTTGTGTGCAGAAGAATGAAGTTCAGTGCACAGTGTCATGATCTCAGATTGTTTAATGCTGTGCAAACTGTTGACTATCACAAATGTCTATGGAGAGATTTCCAGAACAATGACGCAGTATGGAAATAACATAACACTAGAAAGTACTTGGCAAAAGTGTACATGTTGTCAGCTGGGGACCTGCAAACTGTGAAGAGCTTTTACTCTTTGTTGGGCTCTGGAAAAGAGATCCTTTAAGTTGACACTGTGTGAGACTCATGGGAAGACAGCTCATTTTAGGGTCCCTAATACTGCTGTAGTGAGCAAGGCCAAATACAATGGCATCTACGAGAAATTCCAGCAGGTAAATAAAAAAAAAATTAGACTTTAGGGGTTAAATTTTGTGTTATAATTATGTAGTCTTAGGGAAAGCAAGTTCTTGGCTTGTCAGGTGGTTTGTATGCATTGTTTGAAACATTTATATTTCATTTTTCAGGAATGAACTAAAAGGTAATTAATAACTGTCGAGATGGCCAGAACATAGTACCAGAGAGTCTCTGGAGTGTTTGGAGCATGGCAGATTTTCTCATGCTTTCCTGCAACACGTCATGGTCAAAGTTCCATCAACACCTATATCTTCCTTCTTAACAATGACACAGCACACTGTATATCGTGAAGCAGTCAGCATAAAGGCGATGGTGCCCGTGCACATGGACTTTCTGAGACAGCACACACACAGCGCTTGCACGGTTCGAGGCTACGGTGACATGAACTTGTACATACAGTAGCAGGGAAAGCAGTTTCAAAAGAGAACTTTGTGACTGTGAAGTCAGACTTTGGCCCTTCTTTGTCAATGGACAAAACCCAAATGGCTCAGGCCTGAGTATCACACCTCTTTCTAAACGACTGCACAGGAGGGGCCAGAGACAAAATGGTCAGTGCATCACAAGAGCAGACAGAAAACGTTAGAGGCAGAGAGTGACAACCAGAAACTACAATGGCTTTGAAAAATGTGCACTTGATGCAAGGTCTGTTAGGTGCGGACCCCAGAAAATGACAGTGGGATGGTAGTGTTAGAAGCACAGGACCCCATCTAAGTGGCCTTGTGAGAGTTTGCCCTAATCTTAATGTACCCCATTGAATAAAAATCATAATAATACAAGCAAGTCTAGGTCTTGAAGTTTGTTTAAAATTCCCCAAGAAAATTCACTGAGCTCCATCTAACTAGAGCTATCAAGTTTCATGTGGTACTTAATGTAAGTTGTTGTTTGTATGTTGTGGGATGGCCATATATGATCTGAATGGAATCAGTGTGGGAAGGATTCACAGTCAATTCATCTCCATCATTCACTGGATACAGGAATCCAAGCTACAACATCCTGGCCAGCACTTGAGCACAATGGTCTCTTTCCAGGTCCCAGCCAAAGCTATGGTGTGGGCATGTTTAGTGGGTTGGCTGAATGGTCAGCAATTTAGTGTGTTGAGGATGGGCAGGTCTACTAAAGCTGTCTTTGGGGGAAGACTGTTTTTCCTTGTAGAAAAGCAGAAACCTGATTAATTTCTAGGAACAAAACCTTCTTAAAGGAAAGATCAAAACAAAAGCAGTTTGAAATTACACTAGGTAAAGAGCTCCCACCCACCAGAAAAAAATAAGCAAACAAAAGGAAATCCACCCCCAAATTTGGGAACTGTATGATGAAGCTCAAGGGAACCACTCTGATATATTTTGCATGACCAAGGTCTCACGGTGTTAGGGTTGAGACCCGTCATAAATGCCAGAATATTTACTTTTGAAGATAACTGCCTCAAGGAATTCTCTAAATGTATTTTAAGGAGCAGAGATTAGTGGGCCTCTTTTCAATTTGGTGTTTTGCCTTATGCTCAGTGCAAACTATTCGTACAAAAATATAAAAGGCATGGCTTGATGTTTAACGTCTGTGTTTTATTTTGTTGGCACCAGAAAAAGCTCATGTTATGTTTTGTCACTGTACATACTGTAAACAAGACGGCGTTAATATGTTTGCTTATGATTTTTTGTTCCAATGAATCTAGATTTTAAAAAATACATTCACAAACTACCTTATGCTTAAACACAATGATTCCCTTTTATTTCTTACTGTACCCAAAGTCCCACAATAAAAAATCATTTAAAGCTGTGTGTTTCAGATGTATCACTTAGAAATAAGAACGGAACGAAACAAAACATAAAAACAGATCAGTTTGCAACACAATTTAAAGAAACCTCTGGTTCAGAATGTCACAGCAGCAATATAAAGAGCTGGTGGCAATCACATTTGGAGACAAGACCCAAACCCACATTATTTGTCCACATCAGCATCCAATTTCAGTAGTTGCTAAATTCAAGCCAGAGCTATTGCTGAATCTGTCCCCCGGAATTTGTGAAGACTGTGTTCAGCAGCATCACAGCAGCAGTAGAAATGAGAACAGCAGGGTTTCATTGCTTTGGAGAGCTAGAGGGCCTGTGCTGGGTACAGCCCGGTGATCACCTGAAGGCCACCCTCGTTACATCCTGTGTGTTACCTGCTTAGATAACTGCAAATGACCATCACCCTTGGGGAGTACAGAATAAGCTATATTCAGAACTCAGCATATTCCCCCTTCTCATCCCCTTTGGCCAAAACACCAGATTAAAAAGGTCCCAATTTCCTAACATATGTTTCGTTCTCATTAATAGTACGTTAGCTGCTCTTTTGTTTAGGCAAAATCAGTAGGATCCAGTTTTTGTTTTTCTTTTTTGATCCATTTCCAGTAATTGTATTCTTTAAAAACAAACCTCATCGGGTTTTTGTCACTGGATATTATTTTTTTCTCCCTCCAATTTTTAAAGAACAATTTGGTTAACTACTGTTTTGAAAGTAATCAATACAGCTGAGATTGCCCGGTTGAGCTCTCTATATGTCTCCTGGAGTTAACACTGCTGTGATGAACAGAGAAACAAAAACAAACAAAACGAGGTAGGTTAAAACAGGAAGCAGAGCACAGATACCATGTTGCGACACCTGGATACCATAGGCGGCCATGCTTACAGCTTTGGGAAAAATCCCAGCCAGTCACATAAAGGATCAAATCATTCGAGTAAGGGTTTATAAGGACACAAGTCAACCTGAACTAAACACGTACACACCTCTGCACAGATGTTGTTAACAGTATGTTGGGAAGTTTGGAGGAACATAACGTGATTAGGGTCTCAGAATTCTGGCCAAAGCCTTGCCTTCGGGTTCCCTAACATCCGAGCTGTTGGTGCCCGCTGTGTTGGTGGCAGGCCGGAGAGTCTAGTCCCTTTACCCAGTGAGAACACAGGCAGCTCAGAAACATTTATTAGTAATTCTTCTTTGTCACAGTTTTTATCATGAGAAAGTGGCACCCTCGGGAGGGAACTGGGTTTCCAGAGCGTGGTTGTCATGTAACCCCAGCTCCAGGAAAGATCTCAATCAGTCTCAGTCCTAACAAAGCCCAAGTGAAGGGACCTCTTAGCAGGGAGACTTTGTACCTTGCAGAAAGGACATGTGTGTATTTACATAGACATATCAGCTCATTGCTCAGACGCTCCTTCCGGGTGACACACCTGTCATCCATGTTTTGCCCTGATCTGTTGCATAATAATCGAGGGACAATGGCACCCCAAAGTCCCTCCCCAAACACAAGCCCACTCAACTCAATGGCATCTCTGTCCCATTCAACACCCTCCATTCTAGAAAGGGCCATATCAAAATACGGCCTGCCAGGCTCACACAAGTGGCAGTTGATTTTATTAGAGTAAGGCTAGTAGTTTAGCCATTTAAAATCTCTTTCCCCAGAGAGGAGAAAACCAGCTATTTTGTTCTCTTTCAAAAATTCATTAGCCAGTAGCAATAAAAAAAATAACAAAATAGCCCCTTGGGTTGGGGAAGGCAAGAGAGTTCTTAAATTACACGACAGTGCGGTTATGGCCTTCAGTGCGGGGAGAGAAGTACATTGATTGTGCTGTCTCTCACTACTGGGAATTGGAAATCTTACAACATACCATATACTTAAAGCTAGCAGGCAGACAGAATTAAAAAAAAAAGAAGACTAATTTCCCAGTATGCATTCTTCCCCATTCTTACAAAACAAGGGGGTAAAGAAAAAAAAAGTTAAAAAAACCCCAAACCAAAAGAACTGAAAACCCAGCACAAACACAGCTTAACCATAAAAGCACACGATATTTGTTTCTATCCCTAACTCCGAAGGGCACAAGGTCCAACTCTGTCCAGAGACAATGCAGCATCCTCGGGGTCTCCCGGACATTCCTGCCACCTCTTTCTCTCCTTCTCAACCAGGCTGCAACGCTGAAAGAGGGGACTCTGTTGGGAGGGCTGGAGGGAGAGGAAACAGGGAAGCGCTATGTTCAACCAGGCCTTCTGGTTCTGCCTCTAGACTGGCACACGTCCACATGGGTTATGTTCTTTTACATTAGAAAGAACGCGTGAAGATAAGTGCCAAGTGCTCTTCCGTTACCAGTTCATCATGGAATTTCTGTTGAGGGTCATGAAAAACACTTGGCTACTTCCTCCAGACCGCACGGATGCAAAAAACACCTGTTTGAAATTAAAAACAAGTTAGTTCGGCTTCGTGGGTTTTCTCCCCTTCTCTTCTCCACCTGTCCAGCCATTTCCTCTCACATGGCCTGTCCTGCCATATGTCAGCTAAGTTTCTATGGCCAGTGTTTATAGTGACTTCTGAGAAAGGCATTGTATGGAAACCCTCCTGCCCTTACATTTTCTAACATTATTATTTATTGCTGGACTTCTGGCCTGGGACAATGATGATTTCTAAAAAGGTACAGGGACAATCTTTCTCTCCCTTGTAAATGACATGGAGGCAGATGAAAGAGAATCCCTTTAAATTCCCAAAGTTATGGGCAAAATTTGGGGGGCTACTGAGAGCTGTACAACTTCAGTGTTCAGTTTTCAAACTGGAAAACAAAGACCCCAGAGTGGCTATGGTTGATTAGGCGAAGTTGGTGAATGCCTATCCAGTCTGGCGCTTCAGGGGTTGGCACCGGGCCTCTATGCCGATGCTGGCAGATCCTAAGCCAAAGGAGACAATGGCATCAATAAGCAGAACCATAGTCCATTAGGTCCGAACCAGTTCAATCATTTTATCAAAAGCCCTGGGAGTGAGCAGAACTTAATTACTGCTTGCTTGAGCTGAATGTCAGTGAACCACTGCCCCAGGAAATAATATTTGGGGCTGTGCATTAGCCCTTCAGTCAGCCAGTGCCTGTGATCTGAGGAATGAGTGTGTGTGTCATGAGTGCTACTTTGTCCCCATGCTCCTTAAGAAGCCTGTGGAATTGCCTGACATTTAGCTAATGCTACATAGGAATACTCTAAGTGGTCAGAGAATCGAAGTGGGGAGGATGGTGAGGATGTGCTGAAAGGAAAGGGTTGCTTGTCTCTAGCTGTGGGTTCAGGGATTAAAGTAGAGGCCCCAGCCTGAGAGTATGGGCTGGCCCAGGCCTGCTGGGGTACGTTGTCAAGAACTACAGCAGTGTGGTCATCCACACCCAGACATTTCATGTCTTAGGTTCTAGGATTGTAGGAGTGTTGGAGTCTTACTTGTTAAGTCTGGCGTCTGATAAGTCCCCTGGTAACCATCCTTGTCTCCTACAGCTACTATCCACTCGACCACACTAGGTCAGAAGCAGTTAGCCAGGGTCAAAGAATCCAGACCCATATTATCAGGGTTGGATGAAGACCAGCCTGGCCTCTGGGGAACTGGGGTGAACAAAGAGATGTAAACAGTTCAACCCATCACATTCCTTCCTACGGGTATTCATATCTGCTGCTTCAGGGACATGGTTGGTAGGCTGACTATTGTCTCAGAGGCAATCAGCTACAGGGAGGGCGAGGTAGAGCATGACCACTTCAGTATACTCCTGTGGTGACTGATCATGCTGGACAGACATTAGAACATAGCTCCCCTGTGACATGTCAGGAGACACATGGCTGGAATGAGACAGGACATGGCAGGAATTGAGTTTGTGACTTAGTGTCTGGGGAATGAGTGACATTTTTTAGAAGTTCATATTTCTACATGTCAGATGTTTTACACTTAGGGGTGAATATAATATGAAAGCTAAGTCCCAATAGCGTCTCCGTGAAAGGCCTAAAAGTGAAAGCCTAAGGCTGACCCACTGTGAGATGATGAATGATGAGCTAGCTGCTCTAAATGCACAGGAGAGTCTAGGATGGTTGTTAAATCACCAGCAGGCCCTCAGGCCATAGGAGTTACCGAGAGTTTACAAGGAAGTTTTAGATGTTTTATGTTGGCTAGGATGCATGAGTCATATTCCGAATGTTCACATGAAGCAAACCAATAATGTCATTTCAAGAGAGTGACTGATCATTTAACACAGATGTGACTTGTCAGTATAAAGGAAAATGAAGGTTTCACAGGTACCTGGTGGTCTCTTAAAATGCAAACACTAAAGCAAAGTTGAAACGGATTTACCTTATCATTTCTTTCACAAAGAAACTTTAACCTTTGAGCTCGCTTATGCATAAATACTCCATCCAAATGTCCTGTTTCCACTGACCGGATCTCAATAGCTTTCTCGCCCCAGCCCATTATCTGATTGGAATGAATGTAGGCTGTCAAAAGGAATTTCCAAAACTGCATTAAAAACATTAGATGGGCAACAACTCACAGCATCTGTTCACATCTTAACCACAAAAAAAAAAGACAAAGGACTTGAGATTAAACAGACAAAGCAAGTCTTACAGTGTTAGTCACAGATATTTTTTTCTTTCTTTTTTTTTTTTTTTTGTTGTGTACTCAAATGGTTGTTTCACATTTCTTGACTTTCGCTTCATTTGGGGGGTGTAACTGCTGAAGGAGATAAGGAATGGTTAACCTACCCACAGACGTGGGCATCTCTCCCCACTGGAGCACTACATCCTTCGTGATCCGGCCGTAGGTGTTCACATACACCCCCTCGTCCTCATAACAGACAAGCATTTCCATTCCATCCGTTTTGGGCAAGATAACAATAGCATGAGGAGTGATGTTGCCCTGAATCTAGAAGACAAAGAAGGCCAAGAGTTACTCGACCTAAAATCAAGAAAACCTCTTGACTTCTATCGTTAAGAATTGCAAATGAAATTTTGTCCTTTTCACTGTAGGGATTGAAATCCACTCTGGTTTAATCACTTCTCTTGTCAAATGCACCACTATACACAGTTACTTGATCCAGAATCCATCTTATTGGTTCTGAAGAACAATAACACTGAGTGTATGGAGTACCAGTGTGCTAGTCAGTAGACCACTTGGATATATCATTTCTAGTCCTTTGACGAGTTCGTCATCATAGAAAGCTTTGTTGCAAACGAGGGAACTACATCTCAGGGTTATGTAACTTGACCAAAGTTATACGAGTATTTGGTGATAGACGTAGGCTCTGAGCATGCTTTTCTGACACTGGAATTCATGGGTTCCCACTACAATGACGGCTTCCACAAAAGGTAAGAATGTCAGGTGCCTGCAAGAAGGTCATGAGTATAGTACCCAGAATATTCACCTGGGAGCTCTAACACCAGAATGATCTAAATTAGTGATTTCTTTGGGGGAAAAAGTAGAATTACCCCACTACTAGTCACACTGCAGAAATAAGCAAACATTGACTGGTTTTATGGAAAGGAGGTGCTACTCCTCTTGGTTGACAATGTCATTCCAACCTGTGATTGACAGACAGTGCTTTGAAGACAATCACAGTGGTGACCAAGTCTCAGCTTTGATGTAGACATGCAAATAAAAAAGCATAAATGCAGCAGCGGGTGACAGCTGCATGTGTGTAAATGCATCAAAACACATACGTAAGGACTGGGTTTCTTTAGAGTCTCAAATGTCAATCAGTCATGGACCAGCCTCAGACTATCCCGAGAGTTTGTTAGCCTTGGGATTCATGAAACATACCTTACATCACACTGGTTCTCATATGTGCATCTATGTAGCATTTCCCTTAAGATAAAGTTTTATGAAATGTGTCAGATAGTGATTTAAATATCATATTATTAATAGGAACTTGAATATGTTGGGTCCTGAGCCAATTTAATGATAAGGATCAGAGCTCTACAGAATAGGTACTTGAAATTTCATCTTATAGCTGGGAAAGTGGAGGGTTGGAGAAGTTGCCTAGAATGGCTGCTATTGCCAGGTTCACACATGTTACAAATGGTATGAGATCTAGTTCATCTGCTCCACTACACCCCATTGCCCTCAGGCTGATGAGAAAAACTGGAAATAGCAGAAAAGAGATTTTTTTCCAAGAATTTAGGATCTAATCATTGTCTTTCTCTAGCACAGAATCAAAAACCGAAAATGGGAACTCAGCTCTTATATAACATATGCATTTCAACTTGAAATCCAAAGAAACAAGATGATATCTTCAAAATAATGTAATTTTTGTGCTACTTAGATTGAGGGAGCAATAAAACATTTAAGAACATTTGGTTTACTGAGTGATACCTAACGTTCACAACTTTTACAGATTAGCATGATTTCAAGTGAAAAATAGCTGTCATGCAGGGGCAGGAGACAGTCCATTCCTGGAACTTACATGGGATGGTATGTAGATATCATAGGAGTTTCCAGAATCAACATCAATTACATGGAAACCAGTGTGAGAGCCAAAAATGACCTTTAACCTTTGACCTTCTTCCACTGTGAGGTCAACAAGCAGAGGCTTATGCTGGAGATCTGCAAAAGACTTTAAAAATCACCTCATTAGTATCCATGCCAGTAAAAGAGGTTGTCTTACTCCTAGGTGTTTCACTTAGCCACTGTTAGAAGGAAGTGGGGCTTTCCATTGAAAAGCCAGGAACATGTCTCCTTCAGGCATAGGTCCATTCATATCCGACCCCAGGGGGAAGCTGTACTGTCTATTTTTTGTTCTCCTCTTTCCCTTTCTTGTCTTGCACAGTCAAGACAGTTTACAGCTGTCAATTTTGATGGTAGCATTTTGTGTTAAAAGCTTGGTGACTGGGATGCTGTTGCTTTCCTGTATATCTGGCCTTTGTTCTCTAGAGAGTGTGCAGCCATCACTATAGCTCCGTCTTTCCCATGTGGAACCCAGGTTCATCTATGGTTACTACCGTCAAGAACAGTCTGGAAGCACCACTGTGTTAAATCTGTTGGAGTTTAGTGAGTGTACACTGGTTATGATTTTCCTACTATGATTGTCAATTTCTGTATTCGGAGAGTTATGTTTGGGGCCTAAGAAAGGGGGATGTGGAAGACGCATCATAATACTCATGGCTTGTCTTGTCTCCAAGGATTTAACTGGAAAGCAAAAGAGGAGAGCTCTAGGCAAGTTTATCAAAGTTCTGTAGGAATGGATCCAGGCCCTCAGCTCCATAGCTGGGAAGAATTCCAGTCTCTCTCCCTTTGTCATGATTCTGTACTTTTCAGATACTGAGCTCTAGGGGAAGGTCCAAGAAACCACAGCTGCCATCAAACACTGCTCCCCTGGGTCTGTTATAGTCCTTCTTACAGCACAAGGAAGTTAACACCTTTTGTCTTTGTCCTAGGGAAGGTTCTGCCTCTGGACTACACCAGTCTTTCCTATTCAAGTTCCCGCCTCTGTGCTTTCTCTGCTAGGCTGGGTTTGATCTGCCGAAAGAAGTGTTTTCTTTCATGGGCTGTGGCCAGGACCCTGAGGGCTGTGACTTCAGAGTTGAAATGGGAAGGGGAACTTGAGTGAAAAGATTTTCTGGAGAGAGATTTTGGCAGCAAAGTAGCACCACACTAGCTTTGGGAGTTAGCCTTTTGTTGTCATTATGAATATAATGTAACTCAAAAATTTCTTGCAGTAAAGTGGGCTGATGGAGGAAACCCCATGTCTGTTGATAAATCTGTCATCCACAGCATTTCACAAATGGGCGTTTGAACTGAAAGAATAAGATGGGAGTGGAGTGAGTCATGCTGTGAGAGTACTGAGGAAATCCCAGGGCATATTTGGTTTTTACATACAAAATAGGTGGCAATAAAGAATAGATAAAAACCCCAAAGCCAGTCACAGTCACACAGCAGGGAAATGAGAATCAGTGGGAAATGCAGAGAACGGGAGGTAAATTCACACTGGATACGGCTAAGCTATCTGGTCCTAGCACATCAGTGTGACTGAAAGCAACAGTTCTTCTGGTTCTTCCAGTGCTCATCTTTTATAATCCGGGATCAATGGGGCAAAGCACAACAGCATCCCGCTCTAGCTGAACCTCATGAGGACCCAACCCATCTGTGATGAGCACAGATCAAAACAAGGTAAACAGTTGCAAGGACAATCAGCACGGCACTGCAGAAGGATGAGGTCTTCTCTGTGAGTGACTGCCTTCAGCATTCAATTCAGAGGCGGTCTCATGCAATAGTGGACAAAGAATCAACTGAACTTGGAGTTCCTTCAGAAACGCAATGATGATGGGCAGATCTGGAGACATAGTGTTGCCACAGATCTGCCTTTCTCAGGCAAAACACCAGACAGTGCTCGACTGTCAGTGCTCTGCCACAGACACTGGTGTGTAATGTTGTGTTTGGTACTTTTCCTGGTAACTATTCCCAACTAAATTCTTCTTGAAGTCCACAGTTCATAGACCTCCAATGGAGGAGGACAATCACAGGTCTGAATGTGATGAACTGGATAGTGTTTTTAATACTTGAGTCTTTTAAAATAATAAATTCAAGAATTGTTTTTAAAACAAGTTTTTCTCTATATAATAAAACTGATATTGGCTTAAGTGGAAAATAGAATTCTGATGGACACTGAATTAAACAAGCAACTTCTGTGCTTACCTTAAACGCCATGAACTTGTGGTAAGGTTTAGGGGCCCAAGCATATATCTCCACTGCATTCTTTAAGGCGATCACCAAGAACTTGATTCTCTCATATTTAACTGAAAGGGAAAAGAAGAGTAAGAGTTTAGAAATGACATCAATTTACCCAAGCATTTTTGTATTAATGAATGAAGACATGGATGAAGACATGTACCTGTCTACATGTCTCCACAGTTGAGGTTATTGTCCTTGGAATAGGTTTATATATATATATCTGTCTATCTATCTATCTACACACACACACACACACACACACACACACACACACACACACACACACACACACACACACAAATTTAACTTCCTTTAGTGTACCTGGTTGACATAATGCTAAAAGTTTTTAGGTTTATATTAAAGGATTTTTCTTCATCTAAAGATCCATATCAGTTTAGATATTTAGATTAGATATTCACTTTGATAAGGACCTACACCATTTTCTTATGTTAGTTGATATGGATATTCACTTTGATGAGGACCTATGCCATTTTCTTATGTTAATTGACATGGATATTCACTTTGGTAAGGACCTACACCATTTTCTTATGTTAGTTTACATGTCTTGCGTGTTTACTTGAATGTAGTTATGGCAAGCTGCTAGAACAATTAACAAACTTGTAGAGACATAAGCTTAGCATGCACTATTATTTGCTTATTATTCACATTTGAATTCTAATGATTAAATGAGGTAATTGTTTATATTGCTAATGAAAGATTAAATAACAGGAGCCTTGGCTTCTGTCAGTGGCTTGTTTTCAAGGCTTCATGTACTTTTACAAACCCTTTCATTATTTATGAAAATAGAATGTTATGGATCTTCACTTTTAGTTTTATGGCTTTATTATTACACAGTCTTAGTTTGTGTAATAAAATCTGATCACTAAAATCTTCGGGCTACTAAATGTCAAAGAATACTAGCAAAATACTTCTATTTAAAGCAAATTCTACAGCTTTTTCAGAGCCACGTTTAGAAGCAATTCTCCATTTTTTTCCCACAGTTACCCTTGAACCACCCTGCTTTTTTCTGCAAACAAGCATGGCTTTGCAATAAAGAAACAGATTGTCTTCAAGAGAGAAATGCACGTGGACAGGAATCGGCCTGCTGCTGCCTGGTGGGAATGATGTGGGCTGTGATACTTGGTGATACTTTGCCATACAATCAGATTAGAAAATTGCAGTTTCAGAATATGACAAGAGAGGACCAAATAATTCCGGTTCCCAAGCAAAAGCACCAGTGGAGCCCAAGTGTCAGGGGACCGCTGCGGAGAAGAGACGCCCCCATGTGATCTGGTTTGTGAATAGTACTGTGCCCATTCAACATCCTGCCTGCCTTTGACAAGAACTGCTTAGCAGGTTTCCATGTGCCTGGCATGTACTAGCTGCTGGGAAGCAATGCAGACGGGACCGGGCTGTGGGGATGTGCTTATGAACCTCATCTATAGCTCCCTCCATCACACCTTTAGTTTTTCTAAATAAGTGCATATACATAAGCCCACTCTACTATAAAGATTACAAAAACTTCTTTAGGGTACAACACACACAGGGAAGCTGGCTCACTTGGATCTCCTAGTCACCAGTCCGGGTTTCTAGTGTCTAAGACACTCATTTGGAATGAAGGTGGAGGAAAGGGGCATGGAGACTGTCCTAGAACAGGGCCCTCTCGAGCTGTCAAAGGATCACACACTAAGTTCCAGGACAGGACAATAGGAATAACTTGATTCTTATTTTCCGAGTTACTTTTCAGCATTCCCCGCATTCCTGTCCCACTTTCTGTCATCAGCCATGTAACACACGTGACTGGACCGACTCCAGAGGTTACAGTTTCAGACCTGTACAGTGCATAAGGGCGCCTTTGGAGCAATGTCTAAAGCTCCGCTGCTACTGTAATTTCTTGGATTAAAAACAAAGCTTAAATACTATGTATAGTTTGCAAACCTTCAGAAATGTCCTTATTCATCTCCATTCTCAATTGACAGGTTTTATAGGTAAATATTCACAAAAGGCACTCAGTTCCAAGTATGGACAGTATCTCCTGACTTCACAGCATGAAAAGAATCAGTTTCCAAAGCCATTTCCTCTTCCCTGCAGCTCCCACTCACAGCTATTACACATCCACCACTTCTGACCTCATACCGTGACTGTACTCACTCTCAAGTTTCGATTAAAGCAGTCTGGAGAGTTCAGATCATTTCTCTTCACAGCTAAGGCATGCAGTACATCATGATAACACATTTCCTTCTTGCCCTTCCTCATTTTTTCACTTCCTTACTTTCTATGTATCTAAGTAGATGTGAACGTTCCGCTAGGAAGTGTCTTTGAGCATGGTCAAACACAGCCGTGATCTACTCATGGCATTGCACTTGTTCTTGGTGCCAGTCCTCTGGAACTCTACACTGTCCTGCTCTGCAGGCCTGTGGCAAACTGGTATTAGGTTCCTTTGGCCATCATTCTGGGCATTTCCTTTATCTTTTTCCTGAATTACCAAGTTTTAACTTTTTTTTTTAGAGGGATACATCCTCCAGTAGCTTTCAAAGAGATAGTATATGACATGGAATGTTCCAGAGATATGGTATGCCTATTAATGTCTTCCCTCTGCTCTTAAAACTGATGCACAGTTTGATAGTATGATGTTTACTTTTATGTGTTAATTTGACTGGGGCCACATCATGTTCAAACATTTAGTCAAACCTTGTTCTAGGTGTTTCTGTAAGACTTTTTCTGATGACAGTAATATTTGAATTAGTAGCCTGGGTGAAGCAGAGTGCAGTGGGCTTGCACTGCTTCCACTTCCAGTGTGGGCTCTGCCCTACTACGCTGAGTTTATCCATCTCTAGGACTGAACTCAGGGTGTGGGCATAGAAGGCAAGGACTACACCGAGCGAGCCACACCCTAACCATAGTTAAAGACAGTTTCCCCTTTGGAATTTGAAGCCTTGTTGGCTCTGTTTTCTAAGGTTCTAGTATTGTTTTTGAAAAGCCCCAAGAAACTCTGATTCTGGGCCTATTTTACATATGTTGTTTATTAACTTTCTTATAACCTGGGAATTTTAAGGACTTTCTCATTTATTGTATACTTAAGTATACCTTAGTGGTACAGCTTATTGTGAGCTTTCTCTTTGAGTTCTCAGAATTGTTTTAATTTGGGATGCCAAGACCTGTCCCTATGCTTTCTCTTGGATGATCTTCCTCTCTACTTACTCTCCTCCCTCTTTTTACTGAAGCTCATATTTTGAACTTCTTGGGTTGATCTTTTATTTCCTTATATTTTTCTCCTCTTTTTAAAATGAGTTATTTTACTTTTATTGTTGTTGCTGTCGTGTGTGTGTGTGTGTGTGTGTGTGTGTGTGTGTGTGTGTATGTGTGTGTCACACACATGTGTGCCTGTGGAGTCCAGAACAGTGTCAGATCTCCTGGAACTGGAATTACAGGTGGTTATGAGCTTCCTAATGTAGGTGCTAGGAGCCAAACTCCATCCTCTGGAAGAGCAGTAAGTGCTCTTAACCCCTGAGTCTTCTCTCCAGCCGCCTGTAGGAGGAAGGTGAAGTCCCTACTGAATATGTACTGTTCACATGGGCAAGGCCATGTCCAAGACCCCAGTGCCTTAGACTCATGGGAATAGCAAAGCCTTCCTCTCAGGTCAGGCTCAGGCAAACTGCAAAGCCTTCCCTGATCCATTTGTGGATGCTGATAGTGTGTGTAGAAAACTGGGTTGCTTCCTCTTCCGGGTTGTTTATAGTCAAAGACGGCTCCCCTGTGGAGACTACAGAGAAACCCGCTTCCTTTTTCCCTTGTACACATCAACTTGGTCTCCTCCCTTAGCTCTCTACAAGAAACTTGCTCCCCAGATTGAGACTTTTAAGAGATGTGTAACGTAGACACACGGAGTTTCCTGGACACTGGCACTTCTCCATCAGAATGCAGAGCACACCAGCCCTGAGCCTTTTTGGATGTGGGTCTGCTGTTTCTCCATTCCTGTCACCCCGGCCAGGTCAGGTCTGAAGCTGTACAGGGCTTTAGCTCTACCTCATAGGCAAGTTCTTCATTCTCATCTTTAAATACTTATATTATTGGATTCCTGCTAGGATTGTTTTGTCTTTCATTGATCTCTCCAACTCTACTCTATCATTAAAAATACCCCTATTCTTTATTTAGAAATACTGTTTTTCCAAATCTCTGTAAAATACAGGTTCTTCCTTTCTTTCCTCCTTCCTGAATTTTTTCCAGTGCCTTATCCTCTGATGTCCTTACTTCCTGTTTGTTCCTGCTTCCTGCACATGAGATCTACCTGTCTATCCTCTGGTCTTGGTGGGCTAATCAACTGCCATCAGTCACTTTAGAAAAGGAAGGTAAAGAACTTTTCTCCCATGACTCTAAAAGTTAGTATCTGTACATTTAATTTTTCTAAAGGCAATTTTTTCAAACTCTTTCTTGGGAGTATAAACACACTGCCAGCATTTTGGGAGCTATCTGGGGAAGGTTTTTATGTGTGTGTGAAGGTGCACGTGTGTGAAGGTGTGTGTGTGTGAAGGTGCACGTGTGTGCCCTCACAAATATTTTTACTGTCACACAGGCTGTGCAAACTCTTCCTCCTTTGCTGCAGGGCTGAGGCCTGCCTGTGGGGGAGGTGCCAGGCTGTCAAGACTTCTTGTATATTATTAAAGGACCAGCCTTAATAATATACTTCCCAGGGGCTCAGAAGAGAAACTATGAATGGCGAGAACTATTTTTTCAGGGAAAAAGAATCTCGGCACACAGAGTTCTTTAGTCCATTTGCTTTTATCCTCTCTCAGTCTCTAGCTTTACAGTTATTTACCCAAACAATCACAATCCTCCCCCTCCAGCCAGGTCACCAGGCCTGAATTCCTCAAGGTCATAAAGGCAGGTAAGAATTTTCCTCAGGCAGTGACTGTCAGGCGTTCTTTTACAACCCAAAATGGGGGTGGTAAAAGAGGAGGTCAACTGAGTGCTAATGACCGGTTAGTTTATCAAAAAGGGGATCTATGTGCTCAGTCTACATTCCTAGAAGTGGTTAGGTAAGAAGTTAGGGGTCTATTAGTAAGGTTGTATAAGAAAGGAGGGTCTCACCCTAAACAGCACAAGAAATAAAGCTATCACCTAACCTAGGAGACAGGTGGTGTTGTCCTTGGATGCTTAGGTCTGTTCTTAGAGAGTACAGAGGTATCTCTGGTAAGATACTTTCATCTATCTGGGGATGGTCCTGGCCAGATGCTGCTAATGACAATAATTACAGAAAGACCTGCAATTAGGGATCCTGGCTGTGTTACTGCTCAGAAGGTTATCCAAATACTCCTTGAGTAGAAGGAAAGTGTGCCCAAAGAATGATGGAAAAGCTACAATAGCACACGAGAAGCTCATAGCAGGAAATGGCTAATAATCAAAAGCCAAATATCACCAAGGCTCCTTGAGCCTCAGCTTGACCTCTGGAAGGCCCTTGGCATAATCAGCTGAAATCCTACTTCATATTATGTGGCTTGTAGCAAAGACGCTTCCTCTCTTCTCAGCAGTCCTGTTCTCAGCTCTGCCATGTGCCTCTATCCCGTGGTCTTGCCTGGGTTTCTAATCTTTCTGGGCTCTGTGGGGTGGATGGCTAGTTTTGATAATGTTCCCCACAGTAGGTTAAGAATGCAGCAGCCTCTGCTCCGCTCTCTCTAACCCAGTTACACACACTCTTGGCCATCTCTTATTTGCTGGCTTCTTTTTCCTTGATCTATTCAATCTTGGGGACTTATTGCATTTTTAAATTTTTTATTGTCATTTTAAGGAACTTTGGGAGAAGCACTTATAAATATTCAAGCTGAATTTATTCTAAATGCATTATCTGAGTTTCATTAATGTGGCTTTGGGGGTAATAATTCAAGTACACTTGAGGGTCCAGCTACATTTTAAACTGGTGACACACACCTTCCACAGCAGATAGAAAGCACCAAACAACCGGGACTCTCAATCTCCCAAACTGAGACTTACCAACTTTGTAATGTATACAGCCTTCCAGGTCCCCGACTGTGATCCAGCCCTGCTTCTTTTCCACTTCCGGGTCATTGTGCAGTATTCTATTTCTTAACCAGGAAAGATAGTAAACACGGAGCTTATTCTTCTTTCCTGTTGGAATAACAGAGTTTTCAACTCAAGCTCTGTGATAACCTTTTCTCTGTCTTCCCTCACCTCATCTAGATTGTTGCTGGCATCCGTGTGTTTGTAAGGGCAGATTAACCGGTGTTCCTGCTCCGCCTCACTCCCACCTCTATCAGGACTTGGAACAACAGACCCTACTGTTTTGGTCAAAACCCACTAACTGTACTTTTTACCTTTAAGCAATGTCTTATTTGAGGAAGCTACTCTACTCTCTCTTCCTAGGTCTGCTGAACGTGGTAAGTTCTAACTCTGTAACAGAGTTCCAGAACATTCTAGAGCTAATCTGATGAAGGCATATTGGCAAATGGACATTTTAGCCTACCTATGTGTGTCTCGTCTCCTCTAATTTTCTGTCCCCTCTACCTCCTCTGTCACATCAAATACAATTGTTAAAAGTTTCATTTAGCTGGTAAGACAAAGGAAGTTAACAGAAGAAAAAAAATTCAGTAAAGCAATTGAGCTTAGAGGATGATATTGGACAAAGTTATGGTGATGAGGTCACCAAAAAGAATATTAAATAAAAACATCAAAGAAGGAAAAGATGTGGACTTGGAATTTAAAAAAAAGTTTAAAAGTTCCCTTTCTCAGGAAGATAAAACAACAGCTTGATGGTATGCAAGGCTTATGGAGAGCAAAAGGAATCCACTCCACTGGGTTATTTGAGTACCAGAGAGAAAATGCACATCTCTATGGCTCTTTCTTAATGAGAAATTTAGGCTGGTGCCTTCCATCTCTCAGTATTTTCCATTCCTTTAAGGAGGTTTTCTGTTCTACAGACGGGGTGTGCACTAGAAGAGAATCCACGAGAGCATCCCTCACTGAATCCACGAGAGCATCCCTCACTGATTGGACAGAGGACCGCAGCAAGGCTTACGCTGGGGGAAACACACACACAATGCCATTTGTCTGTGTAAGCAGAAGCCTAGAGCCCAGGTGCTCAGGACAGATCCAGGAGCAGAACCAGTGCTCCATCTTCTGGGGAGAATAGGACCTGCACAGTTCAAGGATCTCCTTTCGTATTTTGATTATCTCTTTTCTCCCTTTGTGCTCCATGAGAAGCGGAAATACGGCTACACTGAAGGATGAAGACTTGTTATTAGCAGCAAAATAGAGCCTGCTTGAATTTTCTGGTAGCATTTCCACTTTGGATAGATGGCAGACAGATGCATGGTTTCAGTTTTGATTTGGGAGTGTAGGAATTAAGGAAGCAATTGGCCAGAAACAAAAAACACACAGAACTCAACTCAAATCACAGTATAAGAACAATTTACTTGGTTAACCTTTATTTGCAACGACAAAAATCTAAACACTCAGGAGAGCAGTAAAGCAAAGAGGGAAATCCGTGCCAAGGACTGTGTTTTCTCAAACCACAGCACACCTGCGGAGTTAGACTTGCATCCTCAAGGCTCAACCCAGAAGTCCTATGTGGGCCTCTTTGCATAATAAACATGAATAGTAGAGCTCATAAACCAGGCTGCATGATGGGAAAGTGTCAGAGCCCTCAACACCAAAAAATGCCTGCACCTTACCCCAGAGACTGACCATGGTCTAGGGGGTAGCTTGGGTTATCACAGCTTTCAAGCGGTTCTAACATGTAAGGAGTACTGTGGTTCCATAGCTGATGAAATAAAAAGGGAGGAGTGTAATTTGTTCAACTCTTTCAAACACCATCAAGAAGAAAAAAACACCTTCTTATCAATAAAGAGACTCCACTTGTATTTTTTCACTGGTTAATAATGAGGGTTACTCATCTACCAAGGTCTTTCCCCCATTTAAAAAGCTATTGATGGTATAAAAATGCACTGGTGAGGATGTCTCTACTCTATCCTCTTTCTAGAATAGGTTACCAAGAAGTACAACTGTCCTTAAAACATCAGTGGATTATAAGCAGACATCTTGAGAAAAAAGAGACTTCTGCTTGCTAATTCACCTCCCAGAAGCCTTCATTTTGGTAATCTTCATCTCAGAGTAGGGTAGTACCTGCAGTGCAGACAGCTTATTAAGATTCTGCCTGAGTTTTAAGGGATGCAAAAGCCAAAATACACAGCCTTTGTGACCAGGTCTGCCTCACTCAGGTTTAATGCACACAGGTAAATCTTCTTGTGGAGGCCAGGCCCTCCAGCATTTCAACATGCATTGGTGATCTCCCCCAGTTACAGTGCTGGGCAGGGAGTCTTGTCTTCAGAGAGCAGGCTGTCACCTTCCCACCCGAGCACACCTGGGGGTCAGCTCAGCTTGGTAACACACCTGATATCGTCACAAGAACATTTAGTCCTTCTAGTACATCCATCTGCTGGAACCGCCTCCGGTTGATCAGATTGTAGACTTTGCCTTGGCCGCTTCTGTCCAAAAGCATCAGGCCATTCTCAGTTCCCACCAGAAGGTTCACACCTGCGAATTTAAGAAGCACACAAGAACTGGGTTTTTATGGGCCTCAACAGTTTTACCTGGATCCCTAAAGAGCCCAGCAAACTGTTTCATGCCAATGTAAACAAATGGGCAAGTAGGTGTTATGGTCGACAGTGTAGAGACAGAAGGTCCAGCTCACTAATTACATCACTGTTCCTCCGATAACAGATAAGCGATTTTAATTTTTAAAGTGGAAGCAGCAATATACCACACCTATCCATTTACAGAGAGTACTTGCCAAGGGGAGCCTCAGGCAGAGGTGGGTAAGTAAGCAAAATTACTCATTTTCCCCTTTATGGAGTCTCTTCTTCCTTGATGCTCCCTGTATGTTCAGCTTCTTTCTTCCTAGAACAGCCCCCCCCCCCCCCAACACACCTACTCATCCAGTGGTTTTGGAGGCAGCTGACCTAGCCGTCTTCAAAACACAGAAGTTTCCACTTCTGTACCACATCAGCATGGAAGCCTTGCTTCCTCCTCACACATACGTTGGAGGTTCTGCTCTCAGTAGGGGAATTGACAAGCCAGTCAAGGAGAAGCTGAGTCATAGAAATACTGATTTTAAAGAATTCTCAGTTACCTAATTCTACCCAGCACCCTGTAAGCAGTGGTCCTTATCCTTAAAGCTGGAAGAAGAGTAATTTCATCTGGATAAGTATAATCCTAAAAGTTCATACCTAAAGAAATTAGTCATCCACTTATTAAGATGTACCTGCATCGAGACATTCACTGTGCAGTGGATCCTAAACATCGCTTGGTATACATCTACCTTCTGAAAACATGAGTATCTACTTGTCAAGCCCCACCATGTTAAATGTGGTTATTTTGCTCTCCAAATCTCATCTTCATACTGCAGAACTGTTGTGTCTCACATGAAACAATCCTAGGCTTCAATATTTGTCCCTGCTAACATGGCAAATGCCTTTAATCTTATAAAATTATGACGTCCCAATCAGAGCCTGGCAATGGAGACGGGTTCAGTTGGACCACATCCTGATTTTCCTATGATGCTGTAAGTAATATAGGCCAAGACCTTGATAAACTCTCCCCGCACCTACACTAGGTTTGAACCCAGCTAGTATCTTCAGATCTACTTGATGAGAACTTCATACTGACATTTTCCACTGAAAAGGGAGGCTCCCCACTTGCTGCTCTTTTCAAGTTTCACCCAGTTACTGCTGAGTCTGGGGCCTTGGGTGAGTCACCCAAATATGCTGGGTTTGTTCTTCAGCTGTGAAAAGGAGATAATGCCTTTGGACCCCTTGTAGGATCAAATGTGGGATACCACGTGCAGTGCTAGACACATAGTGCCTGAGAATTAAGGGGTGGCTGGTTCTGTGGTTGATACTCAATGCTCTACATGCCATCTTGAGTACAAAGTCTTCATATATAAAACCTATTTTTGGTCCCTCCTGAGGTGGTCCCACACCAGTTCCCTCACACCTGTGATTATCCTAGTGTTTTCTGCTGATAAAAGCCATAGGCTTTTTAACACTTTAAATTAAAACAAACAAACGAACAAGCCACCAACATACCCCACAGAGCTGCACAGAGTATTTCGGAATTGAAGCGTTTCTTGTATTTTCTGATTTCCGGTGTGTCACTATGAGGGCGAATGTTGGTTGGGTTCACATTTACCACTGAAATCTTCCTTGCTTCATTGAGTTTAGCCTGTTCTTGCCTAAGAAGTTCGCTAGTAAACAGGGCTTTGAGAGAAAGAATTAGAGAAGTCAATAGCATCTTAACAGCCAGCCAGTGGAAACATTGGGGGAGGACTTGGCTTGGGGTTTCTTAGAGTGAAGGCACAGGAATCATGAGTATTTTAGACTTGTTTTAGTAGGATAAAGCATGTCATCCACAGAAGCAAAACAGGCTTATAGACACGCCTTTGGGTGGTGTAGAAAATTAATATTAATCTCACAGAGTCAAATACACCATTCCTGTAACTGCAAACAAGGAGCAGCCCCTTTGGAGATTCCACATAAGCTGACTTCAATGATTAGTGAGTTGCAGAAGGCAAAGAATAAGGCCATCCTCTTAGTGAGCCAGACCTGTGACGGAAGCGCACGCCTGGAACTCAACCCAGCTCAACAAGCATTTATGGAGTGCTCAGCACCACACTACTTCGAGCATAGCATTATACCCAGAAACTGTTTTTGAGAACTATGTGGTAGGTTTGGAGATTGCTGCGGGGTGGCTTTTCCTAGTATCCTGGGATACCTCTGTGTTTCTTCCAGAAACATAATAGGAAAAGAAAACCAGGGTGGGGGGAGAAAATAATTTGCTTTCGGAGCTCCACAAAATAATCCATTTTAAAGTATCTTTGTCTTAAGACAGGGCATCAGCAATAAATGGTGTAACCCGAGTTGGTGAGTTGTCCCTGGGTTGTACAGGAAAGGAAACCTGTTTCTAAAACTCCAGCCAGGGTCAGCATGCTTACCAGCAGCGGATGACTCATCATCTTCTTCATCTTCATCAGTGGGCGACGTCTGGTACACTCTGGGATCCACGAAGGGGGTGAAGGAGGCTTTGGTGCTGCCTCCCATACCATACTGATCAAAAAGAGAAGGAGAACTCAGTGTTGCGGCACAGGTAGCACTGGCCTTGCTCTGCCCGGCTTTGCCACTGACCACAGACTCCTCTGTGCTGGCCGTTCACTCTCTAGGCAGAGCATGGGCCTCTGTTCAGTCTCTCTCAGTTCTGGTTAGTCTCCAGAAGGTATATTGTAGGCACTATACCTTGAGGGCTTACTTTAAATAAATCTGAAGGGCTTAGACTGTACCATAAAGGCATGAAATCAGAACTAGATTAGGGAATAATATATTCAATATTAGCCTTTGGTGTCAGAATGTAATTGAATTTGTCAAAAGAGGTCTATAACTATTTGCCCATTTTGTCTGTTATCATCTTTCCTTCTACAGTACCCATTGTGTGTGTGTGTGTGTGTGTGTGTGTGTGTGTGTGTGTGTGTGTGTGTATGTGATGTGTGGGTCAGAGGTCCCTATCAGGTGTCTTCCTTTATCCCTCATCTACCTCACTTTTTGAGACAGTCTTTGACCGAGCTCACAGCTCATCCATATGGCTTGCTTGGCTGACCAATTGAGACTTTCTGCTTCCCCCTCTTCTGGTGCTGGGGTACAGGCACACGCCACCACATTTACATGCATTCTGGGGATCAGAACTCAGGTCTTCATGCTTGTGAGGCAGGTACTTTGGCAACAGAGCCGTCTTCCGCGCTCCCTGCTCATCCCTTTAGTACCACAGACACCAGCATTCAACATCTGAAGAACCCTTTGTAGGGACTCGTATTTTAGGCATACATTTTTAGTTTTGTTATTAGAGTTTTTTTTTTAATAAAGCAACATTCCTAAGCCCTAATCATATAAGGATAAACTTGCAAATATCCAGTTTGATTTCCTAACTCAAAAAGATCCAACTTGATTGCCCTCAAGATTTCCCCTCTCCCCTTTGGAATCAGATTCCTTCCGTCCTCCTCACATTCAGCCTCCCTAAAGCCGTCCTTGCGCATCTGGTTTCTCTTTCATCTTTGGAGTCCAGAGAGGAGATGACAAAACATTCCCTCCTGGAGCTGGGATGGCAGCAGCATTTGAAGCAAAGTCCTGTTCTGCAGTGGCCTGTTCTGTGGCCCCAGCTTGTCACTGGGAGTGGACTTTAGGTAAAAACAGCTGCCCACACTGCAGGAGGCTGCAGCCGGAGGCTGTGCTTTTCCAGATGCTCCTGAGTTCTTGTCCTTGGGGCATGTGAAGAGCATGTACATCATAGAAATTCAGTGTGGGGGTGATGTCAAAGCCAACAGTGCACATGCTCTGTAAAAACATTGAGGGCCTTATGTGTGAGTCACAGGACCACCATGAAACATGACAGCCTTGAATTCATCCAGCGATGCCCAAGAACTGCCTGTGCTCACTCAGGCTCTCCTAGGACTGCTCCCACATAGGACAGACATCTTGTTTCATCTTCTTGCTGCAACTTGGAGAAAGAGCCAATCTCTTCATTTATTAAACAGTAGGGACCTATATTTCATAAACAAACCATTTCAAATTCACTTTATTCAGGTCAAGCTTAGGTTGACTAAACCAATGGAATGAGAGTCACAACTGTTGGCTTTGAAATCTCACTGGTCTATAGTTTCTCCCACTGGCTTGGCACACGGGAGGTCCAAGCACTGTTGTAGCTAGCTGTGTGTCTTGGACAAGTCATTCAACCTAAGTTTCAACACTCTCAAGTCCCATCCACAACACAGGAATCCGGCCAGATGATGTGTGGGAACGCTTTGTTGCTGTATCTGTGTGATTTCTCTGAGTATTGGCATCAGTAGCTACACAGAAGCAACCACACAGAGAGTCTGACAGAACTTGGTGTTTGACTACATCAAGGCGCAGAACCCCATGGAGAACAGAGCTTTCATGGCTACTGCCGGGCACCTACTTCAGTTCCAGAGTCCATCTCCTGGGAATGGGTGGAGACACGACCCAGTCCCTCGGTGGGAGTCCCGGCTGGGGAATGGCTCTGCTGCACAAGGTCTGGGAGGTTGATGTGACCCGCAAAGCCATTACTGTCACTGTGGCCAGATCGCTTCTTCTCTTCAGCCGTCTGAGGGGGATAGCACACAGAGGCCATTAGAGAGAGAGCGAGCAAACTGAGGAATGACGTCACTCCACACATTGGAGTGTAACAGGCTCCAAACTGATCTCCCAGGGGATATAAGATGCTACACAGATCAATACCTCTCCACAGGTGAAGGGACTCCAAATTCGTTTACTAGGAGTATAGGATGGTAGCACTGAAATTTCTACTTTGTCTAAGAAAACAAAGACATGAAGAATTGTTAATATTAGTAAGTGGACTGACTTTCAGGACTTATGCTGCTGGGTGAGGGATGCTGCAGGATGGAGGGCAGAGTCAGGACCAGATCTGCCAAATTTCTCCTCTGCAGCATATGTGCACGTGTGCATCACTGGATAACTGGATTTACAGACCACACTGTCAGATTATATAGAACTGATGGCTCAAATCCAGCTGAAAAGAAGCACTGGAGTGAAATGATACCGATACCCGCCCCCTAAAAAAAGAACCTGTATTTCAAGAAGATGCAGAGATATTATTTATCCAAATCACAGGGTTCTTTGCCATTCATAAAGTCAAAACAATGACTGATCAGGTCCGACAGGAGTCCCTAATCACTGAAATGACCCAGCAGACCATGTGAAATAGACTGCAATTCTCCCCTTCGGTAGTGTCCACCCTTTCAGCAATGACTGCTGCACCTTGTGACGTAGGCAAGAAAGAGCTAGTCATCATGACCGGAAAGGGACTTGAAGTACTCTTTATAGCATTCCTTTGAGCATCCATTCCAGATGATGTATGATGTGGGCCTAGAAAGACGGCTCAGTGGTTAAGAGGGCATACTGCTCTCGCAAACGACCCAAGTTCAGTTCCCTGCACCCACACCAGGTGGCTCACAACTGTTTGTAACTCCAGCTGGAGGGCATCCAATTTTATCTGGACTCTGTGGGCACCTGCACTCCTGTGCACATACCCACACATATACACACATGATTGAAACAAAAAGAATCTTTTAAAAGGCACTTTATAATGCATATATTGATGCAGTAGGACAGAACTATGTACACGTTCTATGAATATGATCTAAAATTGTTATGGATAGGAGTGCATGAGTTAAATGCTTCCAAGCTATTGCTCCAGAGAGCAGCCTCCTCCCTAAATCCAGGGAACAAAAAGGATTAAAAGGAACCCCCAAAGCCTGTGCATCTAATTGGCTAGCTTTGTAATCCCCCTTGCTCCCGCTAAGTGTAATTCAGCACTCACAGATCAACCACTCTCCATGTCGCTAACTCTGTCCCATCCGGTCTCTGGTGGGTCTTTCTATTCTCAGCTTGTGTGAGATCACTGCTTCAGTTTCCAGGTATGAGAGGGAGCATGTGAATACTATTTCACTTGATATAATGATCCCCAAGGCCACCTATCATGTTATAGATAACAGGATTTCACTTTTCTTTATGGCTAAACAGCTTTGCATGTTGTGTACAGACCACAGCTTCCTTATCAGTTCCTAAGGAGATGGACACCTAGGTGGTTTTCAGTCTCTGGCAGGCGAGAATTGTGCTGGCATAGGAATGAAAATGGCTCTTTGACACTGATTTCATCTGCTTTGGAAGGTCCCCAGTAGTGGGATTCTGGGTCACATGGTTGTACTATTTTTAATTATTAAATGACATTACATCAAGAATATGCCTAGTCCCTTTCTCCACATCCTTGCTGGAACATGCTACTTTCAGTGTTTTGGATAATAGCCACTCTAATTTATTTTTTGATTTTTATTTGGTTTTGATTTCCATCTCCTTGACAACTAATGATTTTGAATATTTTTCCATGTGTCCAGTAGCCATTTACACATGTCCTTTCAAGAAATCCCTGTTGTCCATTTACAAATTATTGTTATTATTTTTCTGTTGAGGTTTCTGAGTTCCTTAACTGTAAGATGTAAATACACTGGTGAGTGCTTCCCCTGTCCTGTAGGCTGCCCTTTGGTGTGCACAGCTCTTCACTTTCAAGTTTGTGTGTAACCAGTTCACTAAGGATTCCTAGGGCAGACCCTAGCAATGACTTCCTCTTCCTTTCACACTCCCGTTTCCTTTCCTTCCCCGTCTCCTAGCTCAGCATTGCTGAGTGCCTACTAAATATGAACCGGTTTGCTTAACACGAACAGCTGGGAATACGGCAAGTACGTTCCTCACCCTTTGGGGTTGGTATTGGCAAGAAGGCATGCCATTTCTTTGGCCCTTTCCCTGGCCCAGTGTGACGATATCATCATCAACCCGACTGGATTTGGGGTCACCCAGGAGACTCTTTGCTCAGACACTTGGTCAGAGTGAAAAGGAAGTGACCACACTCGGCTTTCCCCAGACTCTGCACAGTGTACAGTGTACAGTGTACGGTGCACAGTGTACAGTGTACAGTGTACGGTGCACAGTGTGTGGTCTCTGGCCTGCACTTGCCTCTCTCAGGAAATACAAGTAGCCACTCTGTTGTGTATAAGACAAAACAGACTCCCAAGATCCCAAAGGAGTGTGATTCATCTACAAGGAAGCTTGAGAAATGACCGGAAAGCTTAGCATCGTCTGTTTCTTGGACTACCAACTGTCCCAGCGAGGGTCCTTTTCTCAGTCCATTTTGTCACAGTGTTCATTGGGAGCCGCAAGGGTGCAAATGCTCAGTGATGAGCATTTCATCTTCTAAGTGACATTTTGGGAGTACAGCTCTCATCCATCTTAGTGTCCTTGCCTTTTATGTTTGCTAAACAGCATTTCCTCCTCCCAACTTCCATTCAGCACTAGAAAGCCTTTTGACATTTTCCCCCAACTTCCCCAAAGCATAAATCACACCTTGTCACTTTAGAATTTTTCAGTTTCTCTTCTGTCACTGGCATTTTCTCCCAGGTCTTGAGATTGATGAGGATACACTGGTTATTAAGGAAGACTTGAAGGGCTAGCTAGGGGTGTAGCTCAGAGCTGGAGATGCCTGGAGCAATGCCCCTTGAATCTACCCACTTCAGAGTCATCATCTCTCGGTTCAATCAGGCAGCATCCTCTCAAGAAATGCCTTCTGTGTGCTGCGCTGTCTCCTGGGAACAGAAAGTAACTGACCCTTGCTAAGAGAATCTCAACCTCTCTGATTTTGATAGCCTCACCATTCCCATGAGGATGAGCACAAACATGCTGAGTATTCCAACGTACACCAGGTACTGTGCTAAACACTCTGCATCATGGGCCACTGACTCCTCCTAGGAGCACCATGGGCTAGCTTTCATTAGCCCCACCTTACAGGTCGGAAAGTACAGTGCAAGATGGCCAAGTCACTTTTCTCAAGGCTTGAAGTCTAGGCTGTGTGGTGGTGGAGTCCAGAAGGTCTGGGATGCACTTTTGCACTATGGGAGCTCTACTGTGATAGCTTATTGAACCAGGAGTGGAAACCTGTGACAAGGACCAAATCCCAATACAACTGACCATGAGGACCAATGTGTGTTAGCAGCCAAACTGGGCTGTGGTGAGATCTCTAACGGAGTGAGAAGAGATGAGAACACAAAGTGTGTAGAGCGGGGAAAGCGGGTCTATGGAGAGACAAGAGAGAGGGAGGAGGCAAGCGAAGGTGAGGGCAAGGAGCGGCAGGCAGCAGCACGCACGCGTTGGCCATCCAAGCCCGTGTCTCTTCTTAGCTTCAGCTTCCACCTCTACACAGGTACCCCACTCACTTTGTTTTGAGTTCCTTCCATGGAATATGCATGTAAATGGTTTGTGAATTTTAACGCTTTGTGTGTTACCTACAACTCCCCTCGTTTCCCCCCTTAAACTCTGTAAAAGTGTGTTCTTTCTCTTTTATTTCTAATAAAAAGAAACTTCATGGCACAAACCAGTGTTCTCATTCAGTTGGGGAGGTGGATAGATACTGGACAGAACACAAATAGCTTCAGGAAAGTACTATGGACAGAGGTCCGTTGGGTCCCAGGAAAGGCTTCCAGAAGGGAAAGCTGAGTCAGAAAAGAATGGGAGGAAGAAAAGCAGGAGATTTCCAGGAGATAGGCAACGGTAGACAAGATGCTGAGGTGGCTCGCTCTAGTGGGGTACAAAATGGGTCTATGAAGTGTAAGAGGAGGCAGGGGAAAGATAGAGCCGCCAGGGTGTGCACCACAGGGCACTTTGTATGGGACATAATCACAGGTAGTATGGCCAATATAGTCTTCTAGAACTTTCTCTTCTACTCACACAAGAATGAATTGAGTGAGTTCCTGATGGCCACCCTGTGGAAGTGAACTCACAGTGTCCTATAAGCTAAATCTTGTCATAATAAGACAAAATTTAAGTTTTTTTTTACTTTAGCCTGAATTAATTTTTTAAATACATACGTTTTTAATGTTTTTTTTTTTAACCTTATGGCTTGTTTGATGGTTAATTGTATGTGCCAACTTAACTGAGCCATGAGGTGCCCAGATTAAACATTATTTCTGGGTATGTCTGTCACATTGTTTCTGAGCATTAAGGAGACAAGCTTTTGAATCAGAGTTGGTAAGTAGATCATCATTCCCAAATTATATTAATAGGAACCATGAGGTCCATAATAGAACGAAAGACAGAAGAAGAAATAAATGTTGTGTGTGACACGTGTGGGTATATTTGTGAAGGTGGGCCTATGTGACAAGGCCTGCCTATAGAGGTCGCAGGACAACCTTGGCTGCTGGTCCTCACCTTCCGGCTTAGTTAGACAGTCTCTTGCTGGTCAGTGCTGTGTGGTCCAGGCTAGCTGAGCCACAGCCTCTGGGGGTTCCCTCATCTCTGCCTCGCACTTCATCATAGAAGCACTAGGATTACATATGCATACTATCAATTCTGGCTTTCCAGGAGTTCTGGGGTTTCAGACTCAGGTCCTCATGCTTGTGTGGCAAACATTTTTGATCTGCTGAGCTGTGCCCACAGCTCATAACTTGCCTATTCTCAGTCCCTGCTCTCTACTTGGGTTGGGAGATCATATCTCATCTTTACCCACTTCTGCACTGGGAGACATCCTACCACAGGTGCAGGGTCATTAGACTTCTTGTTCTCCATAGTCACACAAACCACCTCCCCATAATCTCCCTCTCTCTCTCTCTCCATACACACACACACACACACACACATGTATATATGTAGTATCTTGATTAATATGGCTTGTTATCCTAAGACCCCACACTTTGGGGCTGAGGGGCTGAGGGGCTGAGGGGCTGAGGAGATGGCTTAGATGGTAAAGTTCTAGCCTTGCAAGTCTGAAGACCTGAGTTAAATCCCCAAGACTGATGCCATTTCAGAGTTTGGGTGGCAGAGGCAGGTGGCCTCTGGGCTTGTTGGTCCAGACAGCTTAGCTTATTTGGTAAGCCCTGGGCCAGTGAGAGACCTCGTCTCAAAAAAGAAAGAAGTGGATGGCACTTGGGGAAAGACACCCAAGGTGGTGCCCTGGACTCGATATGTATGCATACGCATTGGCACAAACTTACATGCACATATAATAATAATGAAAAAAAAACAACTAAAAACCTACACTTGGTAAAAACAGAATTTGGTAACTGAGGGTCCCTCCACAGATAAACTTCACACAAGACACAGGTGCATATGGCTTTGGAAGTGCTGGTGGTTGTGGTCCTCAAATACTGGGCGCTTTGAATAATATGGAATCATTGGGTATGGTTGACAACAGAAATGAATATGTAGCTCTAAATGTCTCCCTGGAGATACTGACTGTTTTAAACACTCAGGCATGTTAGGAACCGGGCTGTTTCCATTTGGAGTCAAAGAGTAACTCACTCTAGAACACTCTCTCTTGTGTGGTGAGCTCTGGTAGAAACCTCTACCCTTGTATTAAAATAACCCTTCACGATGCTGGGAGCATTATATACCAGCAGCACACAATGCCAGGACTGCCAGCCAAGTCCGTTCTTCATCACAGGCACACATGAAAGCATTCTTTAAAGTCCACTTCAAAGATTCGACATGGGCATAAAATGAAATCCTAGCAAGTTGCTGTGCGGGCTAGTCGTCTAGTTATAACCACACTGCAAATTTTACTTCAAAGGCCTTATTCATCTCAAAACTACACTTTCTTTCTTCCTGACTAGAGTGAGAGGCCCTCTGCCTTTCTGGAGAGGAAAGTCTATGAATGGAGTTTCCTAGCGCTATCCTATTGGAAGAGAGAGAATGACCATGTTGTCTGTTTATGCTTCAGAGGGAAGAGTGAGTTGTAATAAGAGGCAAGAGGAGTCGGGAGTTCTTGGTGATAATGAAATAAAATAACCTTTACTGAATACCTGAATTTACTAAGTAAATTCATGTTGTCAATCATCCTACAAAACATATGGCATTATTTAGTGTGTGTGTGTGTGTGTGTGTGTGTGTGTGTGTGTGTGTGTGTGTGTCTAAAATTGGTGCAAGGTACCTTCTTTGATTTCTCTCCTCTTTGTTAGCTGTGGCAGGGTCTGTCTCCTGACCAGAGCCTGCCAATTCTGGCTAGTCAAAGTAACCAGGGATTTCCTGCCTCTGACTCCTGAGTGCTGAGATTTCAAGTGGTTGCCACACCTGTGTAGCTGTGTGTGTGTGTGTGTGTGTGTGTGTGTGTGTGTGTGTGTGTGTGTGTGTATTCTGGGGATCTAAATTCTTGTCTTCAGACTTGTGTGACAAGCACTTACTTTACCCATTGCGCCATCTCCGTAACCTATTTATGAAATTTCACAGAGGATAAACAGATGTAGGGAAAGAGGTGGTGACATTACCCAATGCTACTTGCCATTGTTTTCTTCTCAAACTTGCATGCCACGAAAAGAGAAGATGGGTTCTGATTTCTTGGGGCACTTCAGGTCAGCAAAGGCCCCACCAGGGCCACAGTGGAAGGGCAGGTGAAAGGGAGCAGGTGCTTCCCACCAAATGAAAGCATCTTCCCAGACTTAATAAACAAAACCCCCTTTTAGGGGCTGGAGAGAGGCTCAGCATTAAGAGCATGGGTTGCTCTTCCAGAGGACCTGGTTTCCATTCCCGGTATCCATACAGCAACTCACAACTGCCTGCAACCCAGGCACAGGGGATCCAATGCCCTCCTCTGGCCTCTGTAGACATTAGACGTGCATCTGGTACATAGACATACATACAGGCACAACACCCATGCATATAAAAATAACTAAATAAAAATTTAAAAATTCCTCAAAATTCAAAGATGAAAATAAATGCAAAGGTATACTTCTTAGCTGAATTCTATGTTCTTTAGCCCCGCTGCTTACTGTTTTTGTTGTTGTTCAAATGTTAATTTAATGAGATACAAAGATAGCACAGTTTCTTGGAACTACTGAGCATTTTACATGAAATGCATACGGGTGAAATCATGGGGAAGAGGCTAACAAAATCACCATTTCTATCAAGAGAGGGCTTTCGTTTCTGTTTTCCTGGTGTTCGGAACATCTGCATTTCCAGTTTTATGTGCTCGGGCTCAGATTTTATAATGATTTGCATAGCTCCTATTGAAGAATTGGGCCTAATGAAATTAAGTCACTCTGCAGAAACTTGGGAGGACAGAGGAAAGGAGATGGCAGACCAAATCACTCAACCACTTAGAAGCACAGGTTCCCAGCCTCCCCAGCCAGCCGCTTACAATACATGCTATAAGGATTCTATTCAAAAGTTTGACCAGGAAAACCACTTAAGAACTGTGTTTCCTTGTGACGTTGCTACACCAGCTCACCTCTCTGATCATTAAGGTTCCTTCTCTTGAAATACTGCCTCCAAAGGTGTCGGCATGCGAAGTCTCCAGCCCGTGCGTCCCGACCATCCCCACGCTGTACTGCTCGTTACTCCCTGGAGCTCCTGTTGGTCTGAGATGAGAAGGAACAGTAGTCATGAGACAAGGTGTAAACTCATTCTACAATGGAATCCCATAAAATGTAAACACCATTTCCTGCCCACAGCCACTTCTCACTGCAGCAAATGCGCATGGCATGACATTAGCCATTTACGTTATTTGTGTGACTTGCAGTGACTTTAAGGACAGTCTGTATTAACACCTAGATTGAGTTTCTCTTTCTGTGGGATCTTGACCTATGTCGTACCCTATTCATGCTCTTCAAGGAAAAACTGATGCAATCATCAGTCAGGGTTATGAGGCACCACGGACTCCTCTGGCCCCACGCCCTTCTGTGACGAATGGGCACCCTGACCTGCCTCTGCCCTTGCTAGTCCCTCTGCTTGGCTCTTGGCTGGCCCCTCTTTCCTCCATTTTTATTCTAAGAGACTGATACCATCTCAAGACTCACATCCAGTCCACCAGCCTTCACTCTTCTTATTGTCATTTGCAATTCCTTTCAGATTTCTTTAAGATTTGTATGTGCGCGCGCGCGCGCACACACACACACACACACACACACACACACACACACACACACGCTTATCGTGTAGGAGGAGCTGGAGTTGGGTTTCATCCTAAAGAAAGTCATCTACTTCCTCTGAGACAAGGTCTCTTTTGGCCTGGAACTCACCAATTAGGCTGGGTTGGCTGGTCAGTGAGCCTCTTGTTGTCAAGAAGTGGGATTAGAAGCATGTGCCACCATGCCTTGCATTTTTATATGGGTTCTGGGAATTGAACCCAGGTCCTCATGCTTGCAAGCAAGCGCTTTACTGACTGAACTATCCCTTTGGTCCCCGAGATTTTCAGTTCTTTAGACTGTAATCTCTTCATTTCCTCCTTCATTAGAACACATGCTTGTCTTTTTGTTTATCGATACACACCCAGGTCAGCATCAACTTGATTTATCCATGTTCTGTGATCAAAGTGTGCGGTACCTTTAGCAAAAGGTTCTTAGCATCAAGTTCTGGTGGGAATCAAGAGCAGTGGCAAGGTCTGGGGTGGGGGTGGGGGGGTCTCTGATCAACAGCTTGAAGGGAGGTATCTCAAACCGAGCTTTTTATTTGATAACCTGTGCCTTCTAGGAAGAGCATTAAAATTTATATTATATATACATATACATTCATATAATATATATGAATTCATATCACACATATAGGAAGTTTATGAAATAGTAGGTGTCCACTTTTTTTCAATATAGGCAGTATACAGCTAGTATGTAACATAGAGCACAAAAACTGACCATTAGACAAATGGGGATTTGTGCTATTTATAATGACAGCTAACTGGTTCACATATGAACTAGTCTGTCAAACTTACACAGTATTCAGTACTTTCCTAAAATATCTATATTCAGGCTATGATGACATACATTTATTCCCAGGCTTTTCTTGTGATCGTGTTATGTATTCCCAGAGATGAATGGTAATCCGAGGATGTAACGACATAGTCACCCAGGAACGACAGGTTTATGCTAGCAGACACAGGGGAGAACTTCCAGGGATTCGGTGACAGAGCAGTAGGCAGTAGGGAGTGGTGACAAGCTGATACCACCACCCCTAAGACAGGAACAATGGCACTCCCCGTGTGCCACACAGAGCAAGTGCCAGCACTCAACAGGGGAAGCACCATCACATCTGAGCTTCACTCAGATGACCAAAATCTAAGCATTCTGTGTCTCTTGAGCCCACATTGTCTGGTTTACAAACTTGGAAAGTGGAGAAACAAGCGGATGCTGTGGTTGCTGGATTTCAAGATTTGGGGTTTCATTGTTATAGATTTCTCTCTGCTGTTTTAGCAATTGATTAATTTTAAATGCGTTTTTAAAAACGTTTATGTATCTCTTGGAGAACATTTATCACTTCAGTCTTTTAATTCTTTTTGTGCTTAAAAATTGTCAATGATTGCTGGGTGTGGTGGCACATGCCTTTAATCCCAGCATTCAAGAGAAAGGCTGATGATGTCTCTGAGTCTAAGACCTAGACTGGTCTACATAGTGAGATCCTGTCTCAAAAATAAAATAAAATAAGACACCACCAGTTGACAAGCCAGGGTCAATGGGAAAATCGCACAGGGTACCACCCCAGATGAAGAATACAGGCAATTAACAGCTGCTAAAAGGGAGAATTAGTCTTCCCTAGGGATCAATCGCCTAAATCTAATACCAAGTGGTCTGCCTTAAAAACATCATACAATCAACACTAAACAGACTCAGCAGGCTGTATTCATACATTAATTCACACACACACACACACACACACACACACACACACACACACACACACACATATTTAATAAGAAAAAGAAGCTATGGGTTTAAGAGGGAGTGGGGAGGGGTATGGGAAAAGTAAGAGGGAAGGGAAATGATGTAATTAAATTTTAATTAAAAATAAAACAAATTATAACACAAATAAAACCCAACCACCACCACCAAGACCTATCTGTATTTTCTTAAATATGATCATAGTTTGAAGATGTAATAAAATATTCACTCTAAGAACCAAGAAATACACCAGATCTGTGCTAGCAGGCACACTGCTGGAACTCTTGCTAAGGATTAGGCAGAGTGCTTGAAGTCCTGAGTTCAATCACCAGCAGTGGAAAATGGAGGAGCAAAAAGATGAGAGTAAAACCCGACCTGAAAACGTACAGAGAGGCCTTCGTTTAAAATCCAATTTGAAAACGTACGTGAGGCCTTCATTTCAAAGTTTCTCACTAGGTGCAAAGGACTGAACGAACTCAAATATGGTGATGTGTTTGGGATAATATTCAAAAACTCACTTTCAATGTCATTCTTTCTGTCCCAGAAAGGAGCCATGAATATCAACTGTTCCCAGACATGGGAAAGCTGTTGCTGTGATCATCTGGGGCCTATCAATAGATCAGTGAATCAAGTAGATCTTAAAACTTGCTGTGATCATCTGGGGCCTATCAATAGATCAATGAATCAAGTAGATCTTAAAACTAATGCTCTTCTCTCACCTCTTCGGGACTTAATCTTACCTGCGCTGCTCCTTTTCCTATTGGAGTTCAACTCTTGGTTCAGAGGAGATGCCATGAACCCAACAGATCAATACGTCAAGTGTTTATCCAGGCCTCCAGGGGAGGGGTCGCTTGTCTTCCCCTCTGCCCATCAGGCCCTCTCTGCTACTACCACAGCTCAGGCTGAGACTGGGGACCACGGCCAGGCTGGCACTCCATTATCACTGTCAGTCTCAATTCTTCTTAAAACCCTGGTAATATTCTGATTCTATTCAAATATTTTAATTAGAGGAAGTATGGATATGGATACATCTTCATTAAAAAGATCTTTTTAAAACCTACTTCTAGCAAGGAAAACTCTCAATGAATTACCTATTCATTTAGTTAATCCTTTCCCATTTTTCACTTAATTATTGTTTTAGTAAAATAATTATCATTGGTCTATTTCTAGATCATGTAAATTTCATAGCAAGACTTAATACAATAATTCTTTTTGTCAATATCCTCTTCCAAATGCTTATTTTGTCATTTCTACCAAGTCCAATTTTTGTAGGTCTATTTTAAAGGTTTAAATTTTACTGAAAAGATTTATGTGTCAATTATTAGCAGATATCAATATCAATAGCAGATATTACCATGCATACCATTACCCACTGTTTATTTTAATATTTGCTAAACATTTTTAACTGAGACTACATTTTTTTGCTTGAATCAGTTTTTGTACTTTGACTTTTCTGGGACAGCACTGACTCATCTGTTATGAACTTTAGACTGTTTCAAGTTATATTTTATATTATCTCAATCAAAAATAGTCCCTATAGATGGAATAAAAGGCAATCTATTTATTCCTTAGTTAATTTGCTTCTAATATGGTAAACAACTCCTTTTAGGTAGCCCAGACAGCCCTGCTACATAGGATCATTTGGTTATGAACATTTTGTATATACATTTTTAGGTTCTGTGCCTCTTATATTAATTGCCTCTGCATGTGCCGTGACACCACCATGTGTTTAACATAATGTAGTGGCTTTTGATTGCAAGAAATTTCCAAGACTCTACACATTCAAATCACTTCCCGACACATTTCCTTTCCAAGGGCAAAGCGCAGCCCACAGTTCCCAGTCAGGGGTTGAAGACCCTGTTTTAACACAGCAGGTCTGAGTCTATCTCACTTATTCTTCCTGTTCCTGGTCCTTCTCTGGTCTTCCTTTTCCTTTGCTCTTCTGTGCCCATTTCCTTCGTGGGCTGTCCTTAACTGCAAAGGGGTCTCTGAGACTCTGCTTCATTTTGTGTAATCTTTTAGCATGCTCTCTTATCTACGGCCTTGATTATGACCAGTCACTTACTTTTTCTACCTCCACTTGGGTATGTATATACTGGGTGGCAGCTGGGGTCATGACCTTTCTCGGGTCGTAGTCATTTGAATGAGTAACTTTAAAACCATTGACTGATTGTGTTCACTCTGACCCCTTCTCTCGTTCTCCCATGCTCAACCCAGGCCTTCCTATTGTGCTTCCTAAGAACATCTCAAATATTTTCTGTTCTTCTTTTAAAGTGACTCAATGAGGTTGGCTTCCTCTCTTTCATTAACGGCAGTCTTCACTTTCAAGTTCACTGCACAACTGACTGTGTTTTTATTTCTTCCAACATTCAGTAGCTCCCTGTCAACTGTGGTTAAAAGTTAAAGATCTTTACGATAGCTTTAAAGGTATCATCGGGTCCCTGTCTCTAACGGAACTTTAAAAGAAAATCCTATCTTCTAACTCTAGCAATATTAACTTACAGTTGTTTTCTGTGCATATCATATGACAAAACCCTGAGTGGTCCAGGTCTGATCTGTTTCCCACTCCCCTTCTTTCTTATCCTCCGCCTTCCCCTAGACAACACATTTGTAAGCACAGGGGCCAGTTCAGATGGCTCCCCGCTCTGTTTCCATGTAGTTCTCTGAGCATCTCTACCACTACATCAACACGTGGTCCTTCAGCGATCAGA